CTGCCTCTTTCTTGTGCCCCAAGGTAAGTAACTAAGCTTTGGGTGAGGAGAGATAGGAACTTCATTTCCCCTTCCCCTTCCTCTGTCCCACCATGGAAAAGGAGACAATAGCTCTTTGCATCCCCAGTTTAGTTACACAGAACAGGGAACTCGTTCCTATTCAACTTGTAGTTGCTATAATAAACTTAGTTTTCTTATTTTTCATACTCAAAGTCTCAGTGTGATTGCTTCCAAGGGTAAAAGAGTCCTCCTGAGGGATTTCAGTGCACAGTTCAAGCTTCTGCTGATGTATACAGATTCCATGTGCTATCGAGAATGGTATCTGACATCTAGCTCTGACCACACTGATGACCTGTGTTTGTTTTGTGGGTCATAAGATACTGCAATCCCAGCTCTACACATTCTCTAACTCCATCTCAACCTGGCATTTAAGAGAAAAGAATACTAACTAGTCTGCTGAGAGCTGATCACACCAGTAATTTTTGTTTGTGTTTTATTGTACTAGGAGTCCAAAAGCCCCAGTATAAGTAAGCCTACAAAAGTCACTAGCCTGCAAATAAATATATAAATTACTAGCCTGGTGTGAACTGGCAAAGCAAAGACACAGAGTTCTTTCCCTCTCACAGCAGCCCTCAGTGTATATTTGCCTGGCCTAGAGGTCACAGTGTGCTGTTCTTCCTGTGCCAACCTGCCCACTTGCCTGCATTGAGTTCCTTGCCACCTATTGCTTCAAGACTAGTGCTTAAATACAAGACTGATTTAGAACACTAGACTAGAGTATCACAGCAGCCCTGATGGATCAGGTCAAAGGCTCATCTGGTCCAGCATCCTGTTCTTACAGTTGGATCTGCCTAGATATATTATGGGAAGGGATTTAGAGTTAGAAGCCAATTGTCACAGAGGCTGTATACCTATTAGGAGCACAACAATGTAGTTTTTTGCAATACATAATCTTTCGCCCTCATCCTCAACAAGCTGCTTTCCATCTAGATTGATTGTAGGCCTTGCTGTCTATATCAGAGGGTGTGGTTACTTGATAGGTATTTAAAAACATCGTTGGGTAGGCGTGGATGCCCCCCCCCCCAAATTGCTGGGACCTACCTACATCTGTTTTAAAGTGTACACACAGTGGGGTAATGCAGAATCAGTCTGCAATGAGATTTTATTTTCAGAATGAAACTAGATTGCCAAGAAGTGCTTTTCAGGGCCAGAAATATATGCAATCTGTGGACTAGGTTAAAAAACCAAGAAATTGGTTTTCATGTATTCTACTGTGCATAGTCTCAGTGGCAAATGGAACTTGCAGGCTATGTCTCCACCTGTTCTTTGTGGAGGAGAGGAAAGGGAGCAGCTCTCATCTGGTTTGCTTGTGTGTGCTACCAAAACTAACTGCAGGTGAGCATGCTGAAAGGTTTGCTGACCAAAACCGTTTGCACAACCTCTTGGGATTCTGGTTTGTGGCAGTGTAGAAAGCAAGTCCGTCCCATGTATGAAAGTGAGCCTTTTCTAATTATGGCTATGGAAGAGAAGATCCCTTGTGATTTGCAGAGTTCTATGTTTCATGGATGGCAATGGAAGAGGCCTTTGGTAAACCTTCTGTCCCTTCACTTCACATATCCAAAATCACTTTCTAGAATGCAACAAGTTAAATGAAGTTGTGTTGATGCACAAACAGGAGGACCACGCTGACACATTTTTCTCACAATTTAAACATCACATGCTACCCATGCTATTTTTGACTTACCAAGGATATACAGAAAAAGATGCCAATGGGACTTGCAAATTAATGTACATACCATTTTACTTAAAATAATTTGTTACCTTTTTTTGCTTTATTTATGCACATGACAAGTTTATAAAAGGAAACAAAGGCTAGAGGACAGGATGTGTTAGTGAGACACGTGGCTTTCCTTATGCATGTCATGTGGTGATGACAATGTGTTTACTCTCTGTTTTTAGAGTGCACACCCAACTGTTCACACAACCAATACCATGAATTATCTCCTATACTCTGAGGGGTACCTAAAGGAGTTAATGTTCTAGAGATTCAAAAGATTGAATGCTCCTCCATGCCCCCCAACATAGAAAACTAGATGACAAAGAGAAGGCTTCTAATCTAGCTTTCTCCATGATATACTGGTGTTCTGTATGCAGGATTTTAATTTTGGTTTTTTTTACAGAGGAGCATTCCATAATCTGATCCATCCCTTGCAGTCTGATTTGGCACAGGGTTGTCTCCTCGTCTGCCATTTGTGAGATCAGGGCCTCAGGCAGATAGTAGTTGCATTTCCCACTGTGCATTTTTATCTTCTTGAGGTTATGCTAGCATGAACCTGGATGAGCAGGACCTTAGAGGGTCCCTTGAAACAATCCAGGGCAACTTGTTATTGCTTCAGACCCTGGTAGCTACACACAGTTTTCTTCGCACAGGCTCAAGGCACCAACTCTGCTCAGTTTTGCCATTAGAAGAGAAGTAGGAGGAAAAGAAGGATATCCACAGCCTACTCAGCCAGCTGCTTAGCCACCAGTCCTTGACTGGGACCATCCTTGTGCTGGTATAGTGGTGTGCATCAAACAGGAAGGAAAGACAAATGAGAAACAAAACCCTGTTCTCAAAACTTCTGATGTGGAAGATGTATTAGCAGCACAGCATGTCTGTTCAGGAAGTAGGCCCTGTTGAATTCAGTGGGGTAATTTTAATTGGGGACACAGTTTACCCTTAATGCTTGAAAAGAGTCATGCTTAGGGTGCAAGGGTTCTTGCATATCACCAATTTTAAATTACAAGTTTTGTTTAATTAATTAACATGTTTGGATTTGCTGAATTTGAGAGAGAGAGAGAGAGAGAGAGAGAGAGAAGCACCTTTCCACACATCTCAGGCCTGATTCAAAAACAGCTTATATAATTCAAAGAAGGGAAGGAGACTCATCATTAAAACAATGACCAAAGCACAGTACAGTAGGTGAGAGTGGGCAGTTTAATTTTGATAGATCATTTAGTCACTCCTGATACATTCCTCCTACCCCCAAAATCACCTGCTGTCAGAGCAGGGTAGTTTAGATAAGGCACATCAAGAGTCTCACTGAAGTGTCAAGTTACTTATTATATTTTTATGGTACATACATCAGCAACTCTTGCAAGTCCCGCTAGAGACTCTCGTGGGAGATAAACAAGCAGCTTTTCAACACTAGTCCCCATCAGAAACACTGCAAGTACTCTCCTCGTGAGTCTGGGCAGAAACTTCCATGGGGAGCCCTTCATTTCTCAGCTACAACTGGTGTACAAAGGAAAAGCACCTCACACAGGTACACAGTGATTCCTGCTCTCCTCTCTTTGTGCATCATCCTGCAAGGTAAACATGTTTTGGAATCCTCTGTAAAATATAAAGCTGATAAAGTAATGGGCAGTATCGCTACAGATGAAAGGGTATGAGAGTTCTGCCATGGTGGGCCATATTTATGCCATGCATTTAAAGCACTATGATACTACTTTAAACAGTCATGACTTCCCCCAAAGTATTATGGGAGCTGTAGTTTGTTAAGGGTATTGAGAAGTGTTAGAAGATCCCTATTTCACCCAGAGTTAACCCTGGAAATAGTAGCTCTGGGAAGGTAATAGGGGTCTCCTAAGAACTCTCAGTATCCATAACAAACCATGATTCTCAGGATTCTTTGAGGAGAGCCATGACTATTTACAGTGGTATCATGCTTTAAATATATGGTGTGAAAGTGGCCATATTCCACAGCCTGCCCATAACAAATCTGGTAAACCATTGAAACTATGTTGATCTCTCTTCTTATGCCACTGTACCTACAAACTTTGCTTAACAAAGTGACAATTTTTAGAATACTGCATTCTTAAAAGGGTGTACATTTCTGCACCAGCTGAGCAATGTCAAATATTTAAGAAAGAAATAGCCTTACCTAGTTTATATTCCAGAAGATCATCTTCCAGCATGAACAGCTGATCTCAACTCACACTTTATCTTCCTTCTGCTTCGGCAAGCACTGAAGATGCTGCCAGGGCCAATTATTGCTATGAACTTAAGGCCTAGGTTTCAGTTTCTGCCACCCAGAGGGAATTTTTGCCTTTAAGCATGTGCTACCCGTGGGCCTAAAATAACCCAATGAATACTTCATAAAATATAACATCAGAATTTCATGTTTCAGTTTCCTCTGACACATGCAAGTGGCACTTTGAATAGTTCTGCTTTTCATATCTCCTTCACATTTATCGGCAGTGACTGTAAAAAAATCCACCCTCCTCTCCACAGTGAAATCATTAACATACACACACATACCCTCCAAGTTTCCTGATTTTCCAGGGACAGTCCAAGCTTCTAATTTGATTCCAGAATGTCCCTATTTCACCTGCCAGTGCTGCCACCACTGAGCTCAGGGAGAAGGATAAGCCGGCGCTTTTCCCGAGCAGTGGTAGGTGTAAGGGAGCATTCCATTGCGTCTCCATGGCCGCTGCTGCCAGGCTCTTTCCTTGGGCTACCGCTGAAGCCCAGCCCTGTGTGACATGTTGGCTCTGAGGGGCAGACAGAGGGCAGGGCTGCCCTGGGTGGGAATAAAAGAGGAGCAGAGCAGAAGGAGTCTTGACTAAAAAATAAATAAAACACTTTGTGCCCCCACATCTAATCTTGCCCCTTTCTAAAATTTATTTATTGGTGTGTGTTTATGTTATTCTTTGGTCGATTTACAAAAAGGTCAGAATTAAAGGGTTTTCTCAGGATGGTGGAGGGCAGATGTGCTGTGTCCCATTGGTGAAGTCGTGGTGGAACTTGCCCTTCTTCTGATAGGAAATGCCCGGGAGAGAAGGGGGAAAAAGGAGGGTTGAGAAAGGCCAGTTTAAGGGAGTGAGAAATGTCTCTGTTTTCATCTGAGGAATGTTGGAGGGTATGCACACATGCCTCTTTAACATTTTTCAAGGAATTAAAAAAACCAACAACTTTGCATAAGACAGCTGCAATGTCAGAAGTTGTTGCTGTAACTATGTATCAGTTAAAATTCAAAGAAGCATGTGGTAGTCCAGAAAACAGAATGTAGAATTTCTTACAGAAATGAAAATCTCTTCACCTGTACAAAACGCTGCAGACTGATGGAAAATAAAAGAATAGGTCTAAAGATGTACGTTAGCAGGGCATGGTTTCAGTGCCTCCCTTATCAGTTGTAATGTGAGCCCCTTGATTAGATTCAGAGCCCAGTCTGGTGCTTCAGAGCCACTTTGACCCAACATAGGATGATCTGAGGCCAAACTTGACCTGGATCCAGAACCCAGAACCGATTTTGGAACCTTCTTGCACAATCATGCAGTAAGAAGGGGAGTGGAGAGGCATGTTCAGTCAGGGTTTTAAAACCTATTCAAGCATGTAGACAGGAAGGGGAGGGACACGGAGGCTTGTATCTGTTAGGATATTTCCGTTCCACCTTAAAAGGGAGCAGGCTTTGTGAGTCACAGAGTCTGCGTATTTCCTGTTCACAGGAAGTTTATGTTGTGTCTTTGCTTTTGTTCTCTCTGTGCCAGAGACACTGAAGCTGGCAGTCATGTTTTGTTTGTTCTGACCAACGCTGAATAAACTTGTAAATAATACTCTCCTGCGTGCATCTTTCGCTGTGCATTATCTGCTGATAGAGCGTGCATCGGCTCTGGAATGTGGCAGGCTATTTCTGGAGCTCGTGTCGCTAATTGCTGATACTGTGTGTCTACAGGAGATCGATGGACGTCCGGAGGTGGCTTGGGGGCCATGATGGACTTTGTCTCCCTGGCAGTATCCCAACAGTATCTCCTACCCTGCATATTTAATTGGGGGGGAGGAGAGAGGAAGGAGGCACATGCAGCCGCTTGCGTGTCTCCTTGTTGCCAGCAGACTGCCCCGTTCCTGTTTTTGGCAGCCCTTGATAGTTGATCTGGGCTGATACAGGGCTGCATCAACCCAATCCAGCCCAATCTTGAGTTGGCCCAGTTTGGTTTGTGATCTGGGATTTGGCCAGATCCAGCACACAATCAGACCATACTTATTTTGGAAAGGACACCATTCCTGAAAAATAACAGTTAGAACCTGAGGTGAATGTAAGAACCTGGGAAGAACCCTGCTGGATTGAACTAAAGTTCTTTATAGCCTAGGATTCTGTTCTCCACAGAGGCCTTGGGAAGCCCACAGGGTCACAGGCAGGAAATGAGGGAAACAGAAAGAAACCCTGCAGCTTAATATGTTGTCTTAAGGACCTTCTATAGTAATATGATATAGCATCCCATCCTGTGATTATTATCAGTTTGGAGTTGGAGGGATATCAGTGGCAGAGTGGTGGACTCAAGTCCCAGATTTGTCCCTGGAAAAGACAGATGGAATCTATACAGCTGAAGCTATCATGCAGCGGAAGCTACCATTCCACAGTGCAAGTACCCAAATGGCAACCAACACCACACACAGTGAACCATTTTTATTGAACCATTAGCCTACAGAATCATTTTTTAAAGTGTCAGTGGTAGAACCTATCCTCTCTGTTTTTGGCAGCATGAAATTCAGCCAACTCACCCTGAACCTACGGCCCCATTGTGGCCATATAATTCAGTCATGTGGCCTCTGACCTTGCATAAAGTATAGTCATTCTGACTAGTTGCCACCAATAGCCTTATCCTCTTTGAATTTGTCTAATCCCCTTTTAAAGCAAAGTTAACAGCCATCTAATGGTAGCAAATTCCAGGTGGTTTGTTTTGTTCTTCAGAAAGACGAAAATAATTTTTAATTATCACCCTTCCTTAGAAGCTATTTTTAATGAGCTGTTTATGATTAATTCCTTTGTTTCCTTTCAGAATAGCCCATAGTTCTATCTCCCATTTCTCTTAGGAGAGGAGATGGTTTTTAATTATCTATGTTTAGGGTTCCTCATACCTAAGTTGTGGCTATTTTTCCCCATCTTGAGAGGAATTCCTCCAAATTAAACCTGACACTGAAGCCGTTTGTCATGACAAAAAGTAAAGTCTGTCGTCTTTTAAAATAAAGGATCGGCCCAGAGAACATTTGCCATTTAGATTTTATAGGCGAGCTGCAACATATGTGCCATTAATTGGCTGCTATTTGTAAAGAGAAGAATACTTAATTATAAAGGTAAAAGGCTTTTGTTCTCTGTAGGGAACAAGTGTGATTAAATGAATCTACCCACTCTATTACCATCATACATCAGTGTATGATGTGACCTTCCTTATTATCAGATCGGTAATTAATGTTGCTCTGAGATTAATGTTATTCACAATTGGAAAAAAGCTGCTCTTATATACCTTCAATTTCGCCATCACGCATCAAGGCTCTTTGCTTTTGCTTCCATCTACATGGGTTGCCTATTGTTCACTTTAGCAAAGCAATGTTTTTGCAGCTCTTGTGGCAGTTTTCTCTTGGGTTTCATCTCTTCCCCAGGCACAGCAATGAGAACCTGTGGCTTTCCAGAGGCTGTTGGGCTCCCATCAGCCCCGGCCAGCTCCTACTGAGAGTTGTAGTCCAGTAACATCTGGAGGGCCACAGGTGCCCCATCCCTGCTGTGGTAGAATTTTTCCATAATTCTTAATTCCCCTATAGAGTATATGCTTGGCATGCAGAAACCCCCAGATTCTGAGTTTCTTAAGGGAAGATTTTGTGGAATTTTATGGGAGGACCAACTTCACACCTGTAAAAACTCAGAATTCATTTTCTAGAGTGAGGGGCCTGAAAACTCATGTTCATAGGATCACAGAAGAGTAGAGTTGGAATGGACCCCAAGGGCCATCTAGTCCAACCCCTTGCAATGCTGGACTAGATTATTCATGACAGATTACCATCCAAAGCCTCTTTAGAAACCTCCAAGGAAGTAGAGTCCATTACCTCTCATGGGAGTCCTCTCCACAAGAATATCCTGGGAGACTTTGTCTAAAGCCTTACTGAAATCAAGATACAGCACATCCACAGCATTCCCTTGATCCACCAAGTCTGTAACTTTCTCTATATATGAAAGAAATGATGTTCATCTGACGTGACTTGTTTTTGAGAAAACTATGCTGGGTCTTAGTAATCACAGCATCCTTTTCTAAGTGCTCACAGATGAACCATTTAATTATCTGTTCTTCGTCCTTTAGTAACCTTGGATGTAGCTCATCAGGCCCTGGAGATTCAAATTCATTTAAAGTAGCTAGGTATTTCCTTGCCACCTCTTTTCTTATCTTTTGCTTCAGTTCCCTCCTTGCATCCTTTATACTTTAATCACCAGGTTGGGCAGTGCTTTCCTTTTGGTTGAAAGTAGACGCAAAGTAGCTCCATCTTCTGTCTGTCACCCAATAGCATTTCTCCATCTTTTCCACACAAAGGACCTACTTGCTTGTTCTTCCCCTTGTTTCAAACATAGCCAGAGAAACCTTTTAGTTATTATTTTTAATCTCTCTACAAACCTGAGTTCATGACTTTTTTACAAGCTATTTTTATTAAAACTGAAAGTCAAACAAATAAAAAATAATACGCCGAAGTCAACATCAAATACTAAGCATTTTTAACATGAAAACTAAAAGAGAGAAAATGAAGAGGAGGAGGAGGAAGAAGAAGAAGAAGAAGAAGAAGAAGAAGAAGAAGAAGAAGAAGAAGAAGGAAAAGACTTCTCATTCTCCATCTATCAGGTTTAAAAACTTACACAAAACTCTTACTGCATAATAACATTCAACTCCTCTGTTTTCCATAAAGCAACATTTTTCCTTTTGGATCAAAGTGGAATATAAATATCACCAAACAACTTTTCTTCTTCTTCTTCCTTTTCCTCCCATAGAGCTACCTCATTTCGACCTCCCATTAGCAGTAGCAGAAGCAACAACAACAATTTTTATTATACAGTCACATACCCAGTAAAAACAAATTAAAACACCGAAAACATACAATTTCTAACACATACCAAACTGCAATATTAAATCCCACTAGAGTTAAGAGATTGTGGCATGCAAGATAAAAAAGCATTTCCTCATTCTAGCCCTTAATGAAAAATAAATCCAAATAAACGGAACAATAAATCTGAGCAAGGCTAACACCCACAGCCTCCCAGGCCAATCTGTCATTATCCTATGCTTGCGGTTCCTGCCAAGATGTCAAACTAAACCTCACAGCTGTTTTTCAGGAAGCTGAATAAAGATTTGTACAGGTAAAGCCATTTCTTCCTTCCTCTTTTCATTAATTTCAAAGTAAAGATCAATATTTTTCTTTCCCGTGACGGAGGCCTATGCATCACACGGAGAGAAATTAAAATGCCATGAACAGTTTTCTAAGTTACCGATCAAAACAGACAACAAATATGGAACAGTATCACAAACTTAGTCAAATGTTCACCATTTTTCTATTGCTAACAGATTAGCCATCATCCCACCAAGAAAAGATGGCAGGTGCCTCTCTGGAAAGAGTTATAGAATACTAGCATTTCTTGGGTATATTTCTGAAATGGTTGGAAGTAAGATAAATAATTATAATTAATGCAGCATAAACTACACTACGGGACGTGGGTGGCACTGTGGGTTAAACCACTGAGCCTAGGGCTTGCCGATCAGAAGGTCAGAGGTTCGAATAGGTACCGCTCCGGCGGGAAGGTAAACCGCGTTTCTGTGCGCTACTCTGGTTCGCCAGAAGCGGCTTAGTCATGCTGGCTACATGACCCGGAAGCTGTACGCCAGCTCCCTAGGCCAATAAAGCGAGATGAGCGCCGCAACCCCAGAGTCGGCCACGACTTAACTGAATGGTTAGGGTCCTTTAAACTACACAACAATTGATCTTATCCAAAATGCTGAGATGCGCTAGCCAGCTATGAAAATAACCAGTCGGGTCCAGAGGATAGGACGTGCACTTGGGCCCCTGCCCATTTCCAGTTTGGATGAGGAACTCAGGTCTCATTCAGATAGTTCACTTTTAGTCTGTCAGTTGCTTCCTCACAGTGATACTTCTCTTTCCCAGACAATTCTCAGGTGCAAAGAAGACGCATGCAGCGAATGCTAATAAAGGTCTCTGCTTCCCTTTAGGTCTTTAACGTTTGCATGCTCACCTCCCTTCCAACAAGCTCAGAGTAACTTTCTGAAGCTGTTTGCTACAAATAAAATAATGTTTAAAAGTGCAGGTGATTTGCAAAATGTGAATTTGGGAAAAAATAATAGCTCCATAAATGTCCATAGATTCTTTTGGCTTACATTTTGACTACAGTCATACCTTGGTTTTCGAAAAGAATACGTTCCAGAAGTCCGTTTGACTTCCGAAACATTTGGAAACCAAGGTGCGGCTTCCGATTGGCTGCAGGAGCATTCTGCAGCAAATTGGAAGCTGCAGAAGCTGCGCTGGATGTTCGGCTTCCAAGGCAAAGTTCACAAACCGGAACACCTACTTGCGGGTTTGCGGCATTTGAGTTCCAAGTTGTTCGTGAACTAAGCTGTTCGAAAACCAAGGTATGACTGTATAGGCATTTGTGCCCAGTGTGACACTTTCCCTCTGTCCTACTGGGATTACATAACATCCACATCATATACTTAAAGCATAGGTAAAGGTAAAGGGTAAAGGGACCCCTGGCCATTAGGTCCAGTCATGACAGACTCTGGGGTTGCGGTGCACATCTCGCTTTATTGGCCGAGGGAGCCGGCGTACAGCTTCTGGGTCATGTGGCCAGCATGACTAAGCCGCTTCTGGTGAACCAGAGCAGCGCATGGAAACGCTGTTTCCATGCGGTACCTATTTATCTACTTGCACTTTGACATGCTTTCGAAATGCTAGGTTGGCAGGAGCTGGGACCAAACAACGGGAGCTCACCCCGTCGCGGGGATTCAAACCACTGACCTTCTGATCGGCAAGTCCTAGGCTCTGAGGCCCCTGCAAATCCTGGGAAATAGAGTTTAAGGGTGCTTGGTATTGTAGTTTTGTGAGGGGTAAACTACCATTCATAGGATTCTTCAGGGCAAGCCACAGGCTTTAAATGTATGGTGTGTATGTGTATGACCTAGGCTTCAACAGTAACTCTCACATTACATTGGTACCTCAGGTTACATACACTTCAGGTTACATACGCTTCAGGTTACAGACTCCGCTAACCCAGAAATAGTACCTCGGGTTAAGAACTTTGCTTCAGGATGAGAACAGAAATCGTGCTCCAGCAGTGCGGCGGCAGCAGGAGGCCCCATTAGCTAAAGTGGTGCTTCAGGTTAAGAACAGTTTCAGGATAAGAACGAACCTCCGGAATGAATTAAGTACTTAACCCGAGGTACCACTGTATATACATTTGAAAGCTTATGCAAACTTGTCCAAGATTTGATAATATGGAAACTCGATAACATTTTTATTAAATGGAGTCTCAGATGCCCTTGTATAATTCTGTGGGGGAGTTTCTGGCACTAATTTTGTCCTGCCTTTCAACATCTGTATTTCAAAGCTCTTTGAGCTCTGCTTACTTGACTTTCCCTCACCATCTATTAATGTCACTCTGAGATAATGAGCACACTGAATGTCTGGTTTTTGGTGTTTTTTTAAATGCTAACGAAACTGAAGAGGAACTAAAGTTATAAGAACATTTTGGACTGATTACAGGTTTGAGGATGCTCTTGCCATACAGCTCTCTGCTAGACCATCTCCCATGTTGATAAGTACAGGGGGTGGGTTTTGGTTGGTTCCACAATCTGGAGCAAACCTGCCTGGCTGGCATCCAATGGATCAAGCTTGATTTGGAACACAGACTTGCAGATTAAATTTCATGTCTATTAATTTTTCCAAGTATGATTCACTTTGCTTTAAAGCAGGGGTCAGCAACCTAAGGCCCATGGGCCAGAAGCAGCCCATGGAGGTCGTTTGACCGGCCCACGAGCCGCCCCCAACATGAGCTGCCCGCTCGTGTGCGGCGCTAAACCAGTGTAGTGCGGCTCAGGGACTCACTTCCATGGCACTGAAAATCATGGGCACAGGCGCAGTCTGGCCCATGGAGGGATCTCCATGGGACCGATGTGGCCCAGGCAAGATAAACCTTGCTGACCCCTGCTTTAAAATGAATTGGTCCAAGGACTTCTTTTTGATTTTTTAAAAAATCTGACTGTTTTGAGCAGCAAGAAAACAACAACGCTTGTCATGCTCATTGAAAACTTTAAAGAAAAGGTCCCTGGAAGCAGCAATATATTATGACAGGGCATTCCTTCCTGGATAGCAGTATAGCGACAGATACATCCCTGTAAGGCTACTAGGTACATGGGGGGGGGGGAGAGAAGATGGCTGTCTCCACTTGCCAATCATTTAAATTTGGGTTGGAGTCTGTCACCTTATTGGCTTGTAGCTATAACCCAATTGGATGATGTAGAATGTCCACTGACTAGCCAATTAGGAGTTACCAACTTCTCTTTGCTCTTGTATGTAAAGAGAGAAACCTTTTCTCACTTAATCATCTCTTGTTTGAAACAATGTAAACAGTGACAGGACCTTTTTTCTGAGCTGCCATCTGTGTTATACTACATTTAAAGTTGTATCATGCAGTCCAAGAATCCTGAGAACTATTGTTTGTTAAGGGTGCTGAAATTTGTTAGACCACCCCTATTTCCTGCACAGAGCTACTATTTGCAGAGTTCCCTGGGAAGAATGATTGATTGTTAAACCACTCTGGGAATTGTAGTTTTGCAAAGGAAATTTTGTTGCACTGATATTTTATGCCACCCTGAAATCCATTTTTGAATGGAGAGCAATTTAGAAATTGTAATATATAAAGAAAGAAATAATATCTCTTGCAAACACAGATCTCATCTGACTAACACAGGTCTCCCAGCATATTGTGAGCACTGACTCTTAAGACAAATTTGAAAATTCCTGAAGTAGAGAACAACACATTAGGAAAAGGCAGAACAGGCACCCTGACAAAATAGAATGAGATTTTTCATTTATTCAGAAATCCTTAGAAGAGCGTGTTTTGCTTCTTTGACAAGAAAGATGAGTTTTGTCCAATGAATTCTAAAGTGAAGGGACATAAACAGAACTGGTTCTTTAGCAACAGAAGAATAAGAACATAGGGAAGCATAGAAAGCAAGCAAGCATGAAATAGTACATCCAGTATTAGTCATGAACAGAAAATCAAAGAACACAGGAAACCGTGGAAAGAATAGTAACAATCTCTACAAAATACAACAATGTTTTAAAGAATTTCTGTAAAGTAATACATGGTGTATGACAAAACTCATTTTCAGCAAAAGATGGTAGAACTTGGCTTGGGGAAATGGCAGCAGGCAGCGGTTGTGTCCCTGCATGGCCACAAACAGGCCTGGGTCCCTCCTTCCTGCCTCCGCGGCCCTTGGAGGACGTCACCCTCCTTCCCTGGTCATGCGGGCTGCTGGGTACCCAGCCATGTGAATGAACCATCTGTGACTGGGCAAGCAGACATGGTCTATGCAGCAAACCTGGGTGAAGAGCTGACCCTTTGGACTTCACTGCATGTTGAGTATTTAGGCAGACTGTGTCCAGCCAACTCTGATATGTTAGGGTTGCAGCACAAAGACCAATGAACAAGCCTATGCTGCACACGGTGGTGCAGCTGTGTGTGTGTGTGTGTGTGTGTGTGAGGTGATTCACCATCCTGGCATTCTATATACCAATGGGACCCTGCTCAGGCCAGATGGAGTGCACCTGTCTCATTGCCAGAAGGCAATGAGGTATGGATGCTGGATGTTTCCATGGGCCTGCGTGATAGGTTGCAGACGTGAATGGTTTGGTGGTGAGTTGATGGGGAGGGCTTGGCTCAAGTGGCGGATAAGGCATTGGGTTGGATCCTTAGTCTTGCTGGGTGGGGGGTGGGAGCCCACTCCCTTCCATAAGAGGAAATGGGGGTACTCTTGTCCAGTACTCTTGTTCCTTTTCTGG